AAATCTAGGGAAGTTCGTAACAGTTTACCTCTGTGCACGTGGGTTCGAGTCCCGATTCAACCAAAATTAACGTGTGAGAAACTTTCCAAAATCGTCCCGTGTGTCGGTGGATCTTTCCCACGTGTTCTTCGCGTTTTCCTCCACCAACATATATGCTGGCCGCCATGTATAGCATATCATGTGCTGAATATCTTTAACACACCCACCCACCCCCTCAGAAAAGGCACTTAACTATTTGATACAGGTATAGTAAATGTTCACCTTGCATTATTTGTTGTCCCGTATATTTATGCTCTAGAAAACATCGCAGCGATAAAATTGACTAGTTTATTTACCGTCTATCAATAGAAGTTGTTGACCGCATAACATCGTCAAAGCGATGATTACAGGTAAATGGTATTTTACATGCCATACGTTTATTTCACATACTGATAACAGCTTCGGTACACAATACAACCGTTAAGATTATTTCCTTTTAAGACAAGTTCATTTCTCTTTAAGTAAATTTCAATATGGCAACTTTGATGGACTGTGTGTATTTCAATCGAAAGGAGGATGAATGCACACTTAAGAACAACGATGAGCAGTAATATATATTTGTACTGATTTTCGGTGATATCCATTACTGCCCAGCAGCATTAAATGTGTCTAATTCACGGTTTACAGTCGCATTGTATGAACTATCCGAGCACGCAAAGGGTTTGACGCGAAATGCGATCGTGTTTGTGTATTAAGAGATTATATACCCGAGTCATTAAGATCTGAACAATACTGAGTTGTCGGACATCTTTAAAGTTGTTGTATAACGCCCCTTAACAGTTTTCTCTATATACGATCAATTTACGTGCGTCTTAAAACGTTTAGACTGGTTCTGTAATATTATCTTCCAGTACACACCATTAATACTACAGACTCATGAATATGTCTTTTGGACACAAGTTCCAAAACTGGATTATAATATTTACCTAGCATAATATTCCTCCAAGTTTCAGAGTTCGACAATTATTGGTACAATTATGTATGTCCATTTATTATATTCAGATCAGAGCACTTTACAAATTAGAGATATTATGTCGTTTGCAAGCTTAAATGACGAATGATTTATAGTGAAATAAAAAAAAACCTTTTTTGTTTCTTCGCATTGATTAATTCACTGTTGGAATATTTTATTACAACTGAAACTTCCAGATTTTTTCCCACTTAAAACATACAATACAAGCCAAAAACAAAAAAAAAATCCTCTTTCATCCCCTCTCCCACCGAAGACTACTCCTTAGGAATAACTAAATGTTACCAGTGTAGAATAACAGCAGTGATCTGCGTCGGCAAGTTATCCTTTACTTTCATTCTCCTACCTAGATTTTGGATGGGGTGCGGTCGGATGGGGGTTTATGCGCACGAATGTGACTAATATGGAAAGATGAATAAATAGTCTTCTTTTATAATTGGCAATAATTAAGGATAGCGCGGATTATCTCTTTATCTCGCTGATTGAAAGCTGGGATTAAGATGCTATATGCATGTCTAGAATGTAAAATATGCATTGCATATACTAAATGCATGTCCATCATGTAAATGAAATCTCGCTGGGAAAGTAAAAAAATCTATTAGTTATTAAATGCTTTTATATAATACAATAATTTGAAGTGGGCAGGGTAAGATGACCAAAACAAGCACACACACACACACACACACACACACACACACACACACACACACACACACACACACACACACACACACATTGTTAGTGGACTTTATTTGAAAAGGAGTTGAAAGGGAACTTCAGTATTAATCCAAATGACTAAAGTTTAAGATATCTGAATATGTGATGCTTTATATATGATGCTTTACTGTATTCTTTCCGGAGCCAAAGTTGATCGATTAATCTAAAGAACTTAACAGATAACTTCCGTTTCACTTCTGTCCCTAGGCCAAAAATTTAAGTCACGGAATGTCATGTATTGCAGGAATTCTGAACCGCCATATTTGAATGAACTGTCGATTGGAGGTAAGTTTTTTTTTTAATGTACGCGTATTTTGAGGAGGTTTCATATAAAAATACCCAATACACCAAAGTCAGTAGGTTATCAGAGTATTATCGCTTTTAAATATTAGTCCCAAATACTGCTGATAACTTCAAACACCTAAACAAATGATCGGTTGTGGTGTTTGAAGACAATTCTTAAACAAGATAGCTGATTAGCTGATGATCTGTTGTCTTTAGTACACATCATCCTTAACCTAGATGGTTAGATTATTACAGAATTTAAAGTACAATGTACCTTTAGTAGAAGTGAAAATCCATGGTGTTCTCTTAAAATTCCCAGAATACATCACTTCCGATTACATAGGTTGTGGGACGAGGGGTGACCAAATGGGTTCGAGATCTCGAGCTCGCCCAGTGTGGGTTTGTGAAAAAGTGTCAGTTGCTTCCCTTCGGTTGGTGGTTCTTATCATAGTTTCCCAGGTTCGTCCTCTACCAGTTATAATAGCCGCCATGCGTAGTCTATTATATGATAAAATTAGTGTTTAACCTACAACGACAAATATGTTGTTTGAATGTTTTTGTGTCATACTGCTGTCAGACAGTGACTTTACGGCTTAGCCTCGTTCTCGATAGGCTCTTAGCACCAGAGATAACTTTTACACAAGACTGTGAAAAAGGTATTTTAAGAAAAAAGTCGCATAGTCCAAAACGTTTAATTATGTCAGTATTTTCGGCACTAGTGGTTTAGTAGTCTAGAGTGCCGGACTCCTACCATAGAATCATTTCAGGTCAACTGTCATGGTGTGCATCTGGACAAGACACTTTATTGCAATGACTCAATTATATTGATTTGTCGTAAAATACCAAACAGGTCAAATGTTTCAGGCGGCTAAATATAGCTAAGCTAAATTTTAGCTGCATTCCCATGTGCTGCACAATTGTAACTCTTTCTTACAGGATTCATGTGTGTTTGAAACATGTTTTCAATTTCGCGCCGAAGAGTCGGGTACTAATTTAAGTAAGAAGTGTTCCAAATTCAAGTATGGTAAAGGATTGAAATTCCATCAATACAACAATGTCTCTATATTTTTTAGTTACAACTACGATAATCTATCGAAAGTGTCTTTTTACTCAAATCTAACTTCATTATGAATCAATCCTGCAGAGCCATTTTAAGAAGTGGGGGCCTATGCACAAACACTAGACTTCTAACACAACGGACAGAGAGATTTTGTTTCTGAACCGCCACGGAGCCCTAGGCACGTGCCACGCGTGCCTATGCCTTAAAAAGGCGCTGCAGTCCTGGCCTGCCAAAGTCGTATATACTCTATTTTATTGTCACACATTTCCAGACTGATTCTCTTTTTCCGTATCGTTAGTATCATGAGTCCTACAATGATTATCTTGCCAAGCTACTCTTAGTAAATCCAGGAAGTTCAAAAAATTACGAAGATTTGAAACTATTTATTTATTTATTATTTATTTATTTAGATAGCTGGTTAGTTATTTAGTTAGTTAGCTCTCTATCTAGGCATTATATTTTCTTAATTAGTGGGCTTTACATCGTTTTTTTATTGTAGAATGCATATATTACTATGTCGAGAAACAAATTGATACGTGTTGTGGATTATCGAAGAAAGTAAAATTTCAGAAGGTAAAATGTGATTGTCTCTCCTGAAAAAATGTACATAAAAACCATTTACATCTGAAATTATAACTGCAACTAAAAGTCAACCATTCGCAAAACAAGCGCAAATGTGATAATTCGTTTGTTTTTATTGTTGTATTTATTGTTTTGTTCGTTCGTTTGTTTGTCTGTCTGCTTGTTTTTCTTTATTTGTTTGGTGTGTTTTCTTTTCAATTTTTTTTTGTTTATAATGATAGGTCATTGTTTTTAGCTGCTTGATCTGTGGCCTTTCTTGATCCTTTCAGACTGCTTAATAATCTTTATGTTAGGTGTCAGAAAGAAAGGTAATGTGCAACAGCAAACATTGTTGCCAAAACAACACAGATACACAATATTGTCTCGTAGCAATTAAATTCACTTACCACGCTTACATCGATAAGTATATTTTAGCAAGCTATTTAATCTTTACACACAGACATTTCTTCAAACTTTTTAAAAATGCCTTCATAATACATTAAGTGATATCGCTTTGTGTACATATGCAGTGATTGTCGCTTTGTGTGAATATTCATTAGTTTCTAACACCAACGTAATGCCTTTCAACAGAACAATAGCTGAACGCTAGGAGGTTTCGTTATCTAGTTGCTGTTTTATATGTAGTGCGCAATTTTATTTTTATTCCTGATATTTTTCAGTCTATGGCAATTTTTTCAAATGATTGCTTGCGTGCTAACGCTCACGTAACTGACTTTTAGGAGTGTTCGTGAAAAAGATTTTTATTTTCACAACGAGTGACCGAGTGGTCTAAAGCGTTGACCTTTACGGATCACTGCCATCTCACCTCTGTCTGCGTGAGTTCGAGTCCAGACTCGGCTAACGTGGGTAAGTGAGAAAGCCTGCCAGTAGCTTCTCGTGGGTCGGTGGTTCTTCCCGGGGTTTTCCAGGGTTCTTCCTCCACCGTTAATACTGGCCACCATGTATAGCCTATCTTGTGCTGAAAAATGGTGTTAAACCCTACAACAACAACATTTTCACAATTAGAGTGACACAAGATTAAAAAAAAATTCCTCATAGGTTTAGTTTGATGGCATTTTTAGCAAGCCCATAAACATAACCTCTACTTGTGGCTGTAACTATCCTAATTATGGTCTAGGCTGATGCCACAACATAGGCATTATTTTAATTGTCTCCATTTGGCTAGAATTCAACAAAGTGCATTGTACAACGCGACTGTCAGTTAACATTAGAGGTAATAAATCATGAGATAGGTTATTAAAACTTAACGAAACCATGTAAAATCACATGTTTGTCCGTTTGTCGGCATCTATTTTCCAATTTAGATCAAACGTTATAACCTAAAGACTATAAAACTACCATTTATACTCGGTTATTGGCCTAAGTGGTTAGAGCGTCCTCCTCTGATGCGGGAGGTCGCAGGTTCGATACCAAGCTGAGTCATAACGAA